TATTGTTATTCACTTCCTACTGTCGTCCTACACACCTGGAACTGAAAGTGATTTTCATTAGATTGTACCAATATCATAGTATTCTAAATTCTAGAATTTAGGGATCTCCTCAATTAGAAGAATTACAGTACAACTTATCTAATTAGAGTGAAAGCATTTCCTTCAGTCTAAAAATTCCTTTGCTATTCTCCACCAATTACTCCTGCAATTACAAATCTACTTTGGGCAAATTTGAAAATGTTTAACCCATTGCAAGGATTCTTTAAAAAGTATCATTTCAGCCTTCAAGTTTGTTCCATAATGTTTCCCTGTCCTTTCTTAAAATTTAAAATGTGTTTGAGCTTCACTTTAGTGTTGGGTTTTCAACAACGGGATGGTTTCTCTTTTCACCTTGTGCATTTGAACTACATGAACTGCCGAGGACGTACCCTTTCTGATGCCCCGACTGCCTCTCTCTGGCTGGCGCTTTTCCTGGCCCTCTGGCTGCCGAAGCACTTGCTTCAGGGAAGGCACAGGGAACCAGGAAATGGGGGACTTGGCTCTCAGCACTCTCTCTGCCCCTTTGTTTCCTCCAACTCTCTGACCCAACAGGATGTCAGGCCTGAGTGGAGCACTACATGAGACCCAGGCATTATAAATATATTTTTATAAAAGGTCCTGCCCCAAGGTGCTAACCTCTGTAACCTTAAGCAACAACCCAAGATATCCTTGTTAAGAAGAAATGAGGAAAACTGGCATGGTGATTTCTTGAAAACCCTGTTTTAATAACTATGATTGTAAAGATTCATTCCAGGAGATAATCTATGGCTGACGATGCTCTCTGCCCTAGACCTTTCTTTTTCCCTTCACCCCTCTTATCGACTGGGATGTGCTTAAAAAATAATGAAGGCACTAAATATTAAAATACGTAAATGTTTGTACATGAGTCGTTACTTGATGGAACACTACACACCCATTAAGAATGTTTACAAATCTTTTAATGACTTGGAAAAATATTCACTCTATAACGTCCAATGAAAAACAAAGCAGAGAGGAAAGCCTGGAACAGGCAGCATTTCTTTTTGAATAGTAAATTATTTTTTTATTTTTATTTATTTATTTTCACCTTTCTTTAATCTGCTCTCTAATGGTAAATTATTTTATTATTATTTTTTAATCATTTTATTAGGGGCTCATACAACTCTTATCACAATCCATACATATATCCATTGTGTAAAGCGCATTTGTACATTCATTGCCCTCATCATTCTCAAAACATTTCCTCTCCACTTAAGCCCCCGGCTTTAGGTCCTCATTTTTCCCCTCCCTCCCTGCTCCCCACTCCCTCATGAGCCCTTGATAATTTATAAATTGTTATTTTGTCATATCTTGCACTGTCCGACGTCTCCCATCACCCACTTTTCGGTTGTCCGTCCCCCAGGAAGGAGGTCACATATAGTTCCTTATAATAGGTTCCCTCTTTCCAACCCACTCTCCCTCTACCCTCCCAGTATCGCCACTCACACCACTGGTCCTGAAGGGATCATCCTCCCTGGATTCCCTGTGTTTCCAGTTCCTATCTGTACCAGTGTACATCCTCTGGTCTAGGCAGACTTGCAAGGCAGAATTCGTGTCATGATAGTGGGAGCGGGGAGGAAACATTTAGGAACTAGAGGAGAGTTGTATTTTTCATCTTTGCTACATCGCACCCTGACTGGCTCATCTCCTCCCCGAGACCCCTCTGCAAGGGGATCTCCAGTGGCCAACTAATGGGCTTTGGGTCTCCACTCCGCACTCCCCCCATCATTCACTATGGTAACATTTTTTGGAACAGGCAGCATTAAGCCATTTGTTAACAACCCAACTTGAACAGTGGTTATCCTTGGAAAGTGAGGTTATACATATTTAGATGTTTTTTTCTTCCTTTTGTTTTTAAAAGTAAAGACTACATGCTGTTTTTTCTCTATGTTCAAAGTGGAAAACATTACTTTTAAATGCATACAAGTCATTGTTTTTGTAGTGTCTTATTGCAAAAATTGCAGTATATATGCCAAAGCCAGATGTGGCTAATTTAAAAACACACTTAGCCTTGAATGTTTCTACCACTGATTTTTCCAGATTCTAATCTCATGTAACTAATCAAATTCTGGTACTTTTCTGAGGGTTGTTAATCTTAAAATACTAACTTCAGAAAAATCTGAGAGCACCTGTCATAAACAAAGTTTTGAATTTAGTAGGGAAGATTAAGGTACAGGCTTCCAAGAGGTTATTTCAGGAAAAGGCACTGCAGAAAGTACAACTGCTGACCTGGATGATTTCATCACTTCAAACAGGTGCTACGATGTGTTTGCTCAAGCACGATTTAGGATATCAGATCACAAACTCAGGAAGCCCACACCTACCAACTGTTCTAATTAAAGTGCCTCTAAGAGAAGGCACTCCTGATGGAAATGGGCAATGCAAGAGAAATCCTAAAAACTTGCTTACTGTTGGTGGGACCAAAGCTCGTCTGTTACTCACACTGAAGGGAAGCAAAAAACAAACAAACACATGAACTGCCAGTGGCGGAGGGAGCCTGGAGTTCACTCTGAACTCTGAGAGCTGTGAGAAAAGGCATTTGACCTCAAGGACTGATCACCAATAAATCAGTAATTCCAACAGGTCATTTTGTAACTTGCCATTCAGATTTTTAGAGGTTAATAAAAGAGTCTGCTCTGCTACCTCAAATTTGGGACCCTATCGACTTGGAAAAGACTACTTGTATGAGTCACCAAGTGAGGTTAAAGGCAAACCCACAACCATCCAACTTGACACTCACAGCAACTTCTAGGACAGGGTAGAACTACCCCATAGGAGTTCTGAGGCATAAGTCTTTATGGATGCACACTATACTACATCTTTCTACTGGCACAGTAGTTGGAGGGTTCGAACCGACAACCCTTTGGTTAGCTTAGCACCTGAGTGCTTTAACCACTGAGTCAATCCATTATCAGTCAGCTCAGGACCTATGAAACGAACAATGACAGATTTCTTACAAAGCATTGCTACTTGTATGGCCAGCAACACTCGCATCACCTGGGAGCTTGTTAGGAATGCAGACAGAAGAGGAATCTGCATTTTAACGAGATCTCTAGGTGACCTGTAAGTGTGCTGAAGTTCCAGGATCACTGAATGACAGGTTGCAATGGCAACCACACTGAAAGCGCTTCTGAATGTTCCTGCTCTTTGACTGTGTGTTTGTATGTTTTTCCCCCTCGTAGGAGCCCTGGTGGTATAATGGTTAAAGTGCTTGCCTGCTCACTGAATGCTCCACGGGAGAATGATGTGGTGGTCTGCTTCCCTAAAGAATACAGCATTCTCAGGAGCAGTAGTGGGAGCAGTGTTATCATGAGGGTAGGTGGATGGTAGGAGTGGGGGTGGGATGAGGAGAAAAAGAGAACCCATCACAAGGCTGAATATATAGCCCACCCCCCAGGGGGACGAATAACATAAATGTGGGTAAAGGGAGACCACGGACAGCGTAAGACATGAAATAACAACAATATAATTGATCAAGGATTCACGAGGGTCAGGGAGGGAGAGGGGAAAAAAAGGAGCTGATACCAAGGGCTCAAGTAGAAAGAAAATGTTTTGGAAATGTTAATGGCAACATATGTACAAGTGTGTTTAATACAATTGAATGATGGATTTTCAAAGATTTTTAAGAGCCCCCATTAAAATAATCAATAATAATAAAAAAAGAATACAATGTTGGAAACCTATGGGGCAGTGCTACTCTGTCTTATAGGACCACTATGCATTTACATTGACTCATTGGCAGTGGGTTTGGTTTTGCTTTGGTAAGATACTGGCAAACTTGGTATTTATAATTTCCCTTTAAAACCTAGTACTACACAGGTACAGATAGGAACTGGAAACACAGGGAATCTAGGACAGATGACCCCTTCAGGACCAGTGGTGAGAGTGCCGCGATCCCGGGAGGGTGGAGGGAAAATGGGGCAGAAAGGGGGAACCGATGACAAGGATCTACATATAACCCCCTCCCTGGGGGACAGACAACAGAAAAGTGGGTGAAGGGAAACGTTGGACAGTGTAAGATATGACAAAACAATAATAATTTATAAATTATCAAGGGTTCATGGGGGTGGCAGGGAGGGAGGAGCTGATACCAGGCCTCAAGTAGAAAGCAAATGTTTTGAGGATGATGGCAACAAATGTACAAATGTGTTTGACACAATGGATGTATGTATAGATTATAATAAGAATTGTATGAGCCCCAATAAAATGATTTTTTTAAAAACTAGTTGACAAACAAATAAATAAAACCTAGTTGACAAAGTAAGCATTTTTCTTCTATCTCAATTTTCTAAATTCTTTACAACTTCTTGAAAAGCGACAGCAAATTTTATTTTTGAAAGAGGTAGCATTTATCAGAGACTTCTAAAGTTTTTGCTCCTTACTTTTTAATCTTTTCTGGGAAAAGTTGTTTTCCTCTATACTTATTCTCTTTAAGTCATTAGAAGGAATTCCAACATTGTGTGTTTTTTTTAAAATCAGGTTTTTCACTGTTCCCACGAGGGGTGATGGCTTGGTTGAAATTGTGCTGGTGGTATGCTAAATGTCTAAGAATCCACTTCCCAGTATATTACCCGAGCACATACTTGTTTAGAAGGTTCAGGTGGTGTGGGTCCCATTATCCCACTCAGGGATTTCTGGCCTTGAGAGAATTTCTCTCATAAATAAATGACTAGATTCCAGTCCATTTATTAACTGAGTAATCATATCAGAGACACAGTATTGGACAAGCATGCACATTAATTTAACCTTGATCTTGGAGGGGAAAAGGTCAGAGTACTTTGAGGGAATCCTTTCCTATAAAATCTGAAGCAACATTTAAGGTGTTACTCTAATTTTTTTATTTTTATAAACAAGGAATCTTAAGTAATCTGTAAACATTTGGTTCAAGTAAAACAAAGAAGCAAGGTGTATCTAAGGCTGGATCTATGTAGGGTCCATCTTACCTGATTGTCGAATCCGTTGAAGAGTTTGCTGGACCAGAACCTCCGATCTTGGGACAATGATGATGAAGTCCACTTTGCTGAAGTGCCCGAGGTCTAGGCTCTGGCTGCCGCTGTCTGCGATTGCACACACCTGAGATAATAGTTTTCTGGCAACTGTAAGCTGTGGTTGATAAATTTGGAAGGTTTCATTATCTAAATCTAAAAAGAAAAAATCACAGGAACAAGGTTAATTTACTTCAGTGATGACCACTTTAATCCATATGGACACACACACACTCTATCACTTAGACCCACATTTTATTCTCATTCTTTATTACGTTTTATTTCTTTATTTACTTGACCCTAGTCATGGCATCTTATTTTTTATTTATTTGCTTCCAACAGTTTTATTGGCACATAATTTACATATCACACAATTCAAAAGTTCACTTGTTCAATCATATCAAGGTGCGTTGAATAGTCACCACCACATCAATCTTAAGATCATTCCCCCCATCCCTAGCCCTTACTGGATAAATAACCATTAACATGAGTTGTGCAATCATAATCTATTACGTTTTAATAAGTTTGCTAATTTCCCTGCAACTTGGGTGAATGGATGTGCTCAGAGGTGGATGCGGCAATTTTTGCAAGTGTATGATTTCAAGTTGATTGCCTCATAAATCACTAATTCAACTCCCTAACCCCCTGTCCAGAAAAGGGGGAATCAGACTACATTTTGGTGGTTAGAGTCAGGTTTCATCTCTAGAATAGGGAGGGGAGAGTTTCCGGTTTCCATTAGGAATAGCTGCAGAGGTCAGGTGCAGTGTCCCTTTGAGCTTTTCTGATGGTAACACAGTGAACATTTCCTCACCAGCCAGGCAGTTGCAACATGGTCTGAAATTCTCCTCACTGTGACTGTACAGCTTAGGGCATGGAGACATGACCTCACCTTTCTTTCCACTCCTGAAAAGATGCTCATGCCCTGGCTGGTCTAAGTGGTTTGGGACAACTCCCGTGCTGATGCTGAACAATTTGAACAGCCCTGACACTTGACAGCCATTTGGCTACTCCATAGGTGACATGTTAGGATACACTGCTCAGATACTCTAGGCCTGCCAGTAGCTTTTTACGACAAGTAACTAACCAAGTAGTTCATCTCATACGTGAGTATGCATAAATACACACACCCTCCCCACACACAATGAAAGAGACCAGCCGACTGGGTTCAAACACCTAAGCAGGCAATACTCAGTAATTGTTTAAAGGTCTTATCAGAAACATGAGGCAATGAAGTTGAATCACAAGGGCCAAAGAAACCAGTTCTAATGAGTATATTCTAAAATCAAACAGCAACGCAACAAGGCAGAGATATTCACAATACTCCAGCTTCAGGTGGTCTCCCTACTAGTTAAAAGAACTCATGGGAACAGATTAAAGCAGCTCAGATTAGTCCTGGACCTGCAATGACTACCCATTAAGTCTATCTTTAGAGAGTCTGTCTGCCATTTCCTTTACTCCATGGGTAGGGGACTAACACAAATGAGGGCATAATTTGAGATTCATAAAACTCAAATTTCATAAAATTATTTTATTTAATGAATTTTGAAGATTTAGGAGGCATAAAAATACCTTATATTGGGCATCGTGAAGTCTAAAAGTACTAGAATTGCAAAACTCTTAATAATTATTAAAAACAATGAATAGAACGACATTTTAGATCATCTGGATGTTAACTTTATTACCAACTACTATCCAGAAGTTAAAAAAAAAGTATCGCTCCGGTACTTGCATTTATTTCAATGAGCTAATGTCAAGCAACCTTTCCCTTTCTGGCCTGAAGCAGTCCTAATACAAAAAGCAGGCATTCCTATCAGGTGAAGGCCAAATGGCTGTCAGCAGGGGCTTACATGGATCTGTTTCCTATCAACCCGTTCTCCTGTTTCTCCCACCCCCCATCCTTTCTTATGCTGTCTTTACCAACCAGTGAAGTGAGGGTGGAAACTGAACCCAAAGTAATCCAGCCTGATTAGATGACTCCTCATCCTTCCCCTCCCTGGTCCTGTGTTCCCCTGAAACTTGTGGGGCAGCTGATGTGCTGGCTTGCTGCTCTCTAACACGAAGGTCTAGCTACCCCTGATATCTATGTGTTTAACAAGACAGAGCACCAAGGAAGACAGAGGGAGCCAGGAGCCCCACACAGCTTGAAGACTAGATGGTTTCAAGCAGTTCCTGCGGCCCTTAAACCTTCACTAACAACTCTGCATAGAACTGGTGTTTTATGGGATGTACACTGAGAACCACAGAATCTTTCAAATAAAAAACAAAAAACAAACACGACAGAGAAATTGTTAAAATCTTGTACTTTGTTTTTTAATTCTGTGGGACATTAACTAAGAACAAGGCCTTTGATCTAGGCCACTAAAGATAAGGCATTTCTCATTGAGTCAGATCTATTGTAGGAGATGAGAAGTCTGTCAGGATCTCCAAGCCCTCAGAATGACTTGGCTTCCATAATTCCTCTCCTAGGCCTGGCTCCCCTCTCGCTCTTAGTTTGAGGCAACGTTACCCAGGTTTTGCGTGGGGATCATAGCAGCAGCCTCCTGAGGGGACACACATTCATTAAGGTCTCCGTTGAATGGGGTAACCACACTGTCTCCCCTTCTTTGTTGCATTTTTTCTAGCAGTTTGTCGAGGTCATCACCTATTACAAAATAAAGTCGAGACAAGGAGATTACAAGGAATGGCATGGCCTTATCATTTGCACCTGTCTCAAAGGCCTGCAACCCAGCTGCTGAGTTCACATTAGGATCTGGGAATCAGCCAGTTTTCAGGGTTATTTCTCCAGAGGCTTCATCATAGCTAGCGCTAACCTTGTCCTTTTCCTGCATACAGTTTACATGCTTCTCCACACTTTCATTCCTCCTGACCTTCAGTCTTTAAAGCAGGCGGGTCAGGACTACACAGACTCCTCTGGACAAGTTAGGACACTGAGTCTGAAGGAGACCGAGACTCACTCATGGTCACACAATAAATCAGTGACTGAGCCAAGGCTTGTGACACTGGTGCTAGTTTGTCTGTCTAGGGACCATGCTGTTGCCTTTTGTGGTGTCGGTAACAAAATATTTAAGATCAAATTTCCTTTCCAGATGAAAGGAAACCAGCTGGCAAGTTTAAGCTCCACAAGCATCTCCTTGATGGCTGAGATTTAAATCCATAAAATCATGTAGGGAGAGGCTGGCAGTGTTGCCGTATCTCACAACCACTCACCTAATGACGTGTTTTTGAAATGCGACGCCAGGAAACTGACCTTTCCTGTGATGAGCTCATAGCTAATTTCTTTCAAAAACTCACTCGTGGTGAGCATGCTCTCTGCCAGCGCTCTTGACTGATGCTGACCTGGGGAACAGCAGGGAGAAGAGATGACACAGCAACGGAAGGGAAAAGTTAATCGCACCAAGGTTCACGAGAATATTCTTCATATTTGCAAAAACTGGTAACAACCAAAGAACTTAATTACAGGGACTCGGGAAAGAATATTTCGGTTTGCCAAAAGAGAGCAAGTGACTATTTGAGATGACAGTTTTCAGAAACAGGGAAGAGGTGTAATTCAGGTGGACAAGGGAAAAATGATAAACTGTATGTTTGTCACTGTGAAAATATATGCAAGCATGTGGATAACGCCATAGGGAGGCCTAGGAAAATTCCAAAGTTATATGATTATCTGTCTTAAAAATATAACCCGTTATTAAGTATTTTTCACAAGCTACAATGAAAGGCTAAGTGATGTGCTCCTCTTGCTGATGACCCTCTCTGGAAGGTTTATGTGGCAAGAGACAGGTGGCAGGCAGGTTTCCCCCACGTGAGGGGGCTCAGCCACTGTGGTAGAACAGGCGTGAGGGATTCACTACCGACAGGAGAGAAGCACAACTTAGTCTGTAGGGCTCCTCAGAAAGGTGCCTGTACCTTCCTGGTAGAACACCAGCAAACGAAAACAAAACAACAACAAACACATTTTGTAATTATCAATTGAGGTAGTTTTTTTTAGTGTCAGTGTTTACCTACACTCTTCAGTGAGGAGGTGGGAATACATGAGCTAAGTTTTTGGCAAACTTGATGAACTGGGCTTAGGCCACCTGTAGCACTGGCTTTATCACATGCTAGAGTGGTAACATTTCCAAAACCTTGTAAGGACAGAAGTTACATGAGACAAGAATATCTGTTACCAGGGTGAGCTTTGAAATAATGCTCCCCTAACCAGCTGACAGGACAGAAGCCCAACTAAGGGCCGACAAACACCAGATGGGAGGTGGAAAGGAAAAGTTAAAATTAGAAGGAAGAATCCAAATTGAAGCAATTAACCAGCGATTACATGGATGTCTGAGACACTCAGGTAATCCAATGAATATGTTTCAAACGGACAGATGATGGAAGGAATGAATTGCCATAAAATTACTCACCTAATACTACCACACAAAACTCATTTCCTCTGATTTTTGATGCACAAATTGCCACAACATAATCTGGCAGCCTTTGATAGTGTCTCATTTCACTGAGAGTCCTCAGCGTCTCTGAAATGCCCTCTGCCAAAGAGTTCTGGGTCACAATCACATGTACCATGTCTTGGGACACGCTGGCAATCAATCGGGCAAGCCAGGGGAGTTGTCCTGGAGACACAGGAATACACTGGGCACCCATCTGCAGGGCTCTCTCTCTCAGAGTAAATTCCTGCATCGCTTTCAGCATAATCTGCTCAAATTCTTCCCGGAGAGGTATCTGATCAGGACCTAGATCGAAGAGAATCACAGCTTGAGTTAAAAACAAAAAACGAAATCACAGCTAGGCACATGGGCGGGCACACACACACACACACACACACACACACACACACACACGCACAGTTTTATCTAAGCCATTTTTTCCACCTACTAGATAAGCTCTAGTTTTCTGTAAAGCTTCCAAGTTTCGAGCCTTACTAACTTCCATTGAGAATTACCTTTTCTCTGCTTTCACTGCTTTAATAACAAGTACCCAAAAAAGTGTCTGTTCTTGGTACCTTTAAGGGACATGAGTGCCCAGTCAACACATGTGTCAGCTATCCAAAAGGTTCGAGGTTTCAGTCCTCCCAGGGGCCCCTGGGAAGAACGACCACACAGCATTTGAAATGGCCATTCATCACCTGGTGATTATTTCCCGAAACTCGGCCTCTGAAAATTCCTGGGATACCAGTTCGAAGCTGACCCACGTGTGGTACTGCCATGTGTCAGAATAGACTCAAAGGCCATTAAAAACACAAAACAAAACAAATTGATAGAGGATCAATATAAAGGCATACATTGGGAGTGGGCCCATTGCAGGTGGTGTGTTTCTAGGCCTGTTAGACGTGGCAGTGTGGAAATGTTCATGACTGATCAAATGGACTCATTTTATTTTTATTCACCTCTCATTTTATTCATAGGTATTGTGAAAAAATATTTTAATGTCTTGCCTTTAAGTCTTTTTGAGAATATTGCCCAAAGGAACATTAAGTTTAATTACTTTTCACTCCCAATTTATTTTCTAGGCAGCCTCACACTTTGCCCTGATGGAGAATGTTCTCATCATCTAGCTAGTCCCCAGCATCCAAGGCTCTTAATGGCATTTGGCCCTCTTCCACAATCATGATTATAACTAAGCTTATAGGGGTGACTTGCGGCCCCTGGGATTAAGGGAACTTGGCTTTTCTTACTCTCTTTAGAACCTCAACCTGTCTTAGATTAAAACACGTCAGTCAATATTCGAAATCCAAGTGACACAAAGAAACGAAGATTCTGACTTTAGCTGAAATTGACAGCAGTGAGACTATGTTCACTCCCTCTATTCAGAGTGACTTCTTTTGCTATGTGACCCTGAGACTGAAAATGCAGGCTGCTGTAAACAGACACAGACTCCTCAGTATCTGGTCTGAGATCAAGCAATGGCTCACAGCCCAGGACTAAATGCTCCTTATGACAATGGTCAGGGATAAGGGACTGGGCTTCTGTAGGGAAAGGAACACCATGAGTACCTCCTCTAACAGGGACCCAAGTGGTCTCCCTAGATCACATCCCTGGGAAAGAATGAAAACAAGGGACTTCATAACATTCTGTGTATGTTGGGTGAGGGTTGAGGGGTTGGGCAAGAAAGGTCAAATAAAATATTATAACTTTAAAAACAAACCATTTGAATTAGATAAAAGATTTTTCCAGGATTGGTTGGGGGGGGGGGGCAGGAGGAGGTAGAAGACTCTAATTCTCCTTAAAAAAACAAACCCGTTTTATTGGGTCATAATCCAAATTACCATACAATTCAATAGTTCAATCATATGAGACTGGAATTCTTATTGGCAACTTTTTTTCCCTCTTGCATTCATGGAAATGGCAAGAACACTGTCATGTTTATATTTTGTCTATGTTTCCAACGTCCTCCCCAGTCATTTGCTAGGGCAAGACAGATGCCTTCTCATCACCTTGAACCACCAGGAATTCTGATTTCATTTAGCTTCATCAAATTAGCATCATGGTTACTGGTTACTGGATACGTATGTCTCAGTAGTGCACTTAAAGTGGATTCGTCTGTACCTTCTGTACTAGATGAGGGAAAAATAGTATTCCCAGGGCATGACAGCTCTAAAGCATGTGACCCTGTCTCTAATGCCTTCTCACAAACTCAAGACTCACTCTCATCGAATCAATTCGACTCAACTCCAGAGGACAGAGTAGAACTGCCTCTTTGGGTTTCTGAAGCTGTAAATCCTTATAGGATTAGAAAGACTCATTTTCTCCAGTGGAGCACTAGTAAGTTCAAACTGCTAACCTTGTGGTTAGCAGCCCAACATGTAACCCACTATGCTATCAGCTTCCTCCAATTCCTTACTACTTCTCAAAAAACAACCCGAGGCTTACAGGGTTGCTTACTAGGTGTGTCCCAAAGACCTACCCCAAACCACTATTGATTAACATGTTCTACTAAGCAGGATAATTAACTCCAAATATAAAGGCATTCTCTGAAAGTAAAATTATAATTATGTTCATAACACTCTGTCATCTTGAAACTCACTTTTGTAAAGTTCGACTGATTTAATTCCAAATCAACAGCGCCTCCCACACGGCGCCCCCACCCTCCCCAAAAGCCAGATCTACTGTCACCAAGTTAATTCGAACTCATAGGGAGGAATAAAGAAAAAGAGAAAAAGGAATCAAAGTTTAAGTAGATTATGAGACTTAAGAATAAAATGTCCTGTTTCCAATCACCTCCTATCATTTCGTCATCTCAGCTTTTACGCTAAATTGCAGGAGCTTTTGCTCCACTTTTTAGAAGCTTGATAATAGCAATTTCATCCTCCCCCAAGTCCTAATCTCCAGTAATTCAGCTGAGGCCAGGCATTAGCTTTGATAGCTTTTCTGATAAAGCTATCTTACTCAGAGTAGGCAAGGTTGCAACAGACTCAGGAGCCTCCAAGAATTCCTAGATTTGCTGATTTCATTATCTGATTCAAAATATTTTCAGATTGTGAAATAACTGAGGGTTTTGGTGGTTTTTTTTAAGTGACTATGGTGGAAAAGCCAGTTCTTCTTTGAGAATCTTGCCCTTCTCCAGGTCACTGAATCACCAAAGTGTTAAACTGGATGCCTGCACGCACGCACGCATGTGGACTCCCCCTCATGGGGACCCATGAGTGTCAAAGCAAAGCTGAGCTCCATGGAGGTTTCCTTTACCTTTATTGTGAAGTGGGTCAAGGCCGACCAAGCAAATCAGTATCCCCTTCAACACTTGGGACCTTCTGCCTCCAGCCATTGATTACAATCCCCAAAATGTCCTATTCTATCCCACTTCCTAGGTTCCCCTTCCAGTCTTCCTCCTTTCCTAACCCTTCCGAACTTTCTTTGGGCAGACGCTGTCCTTTTGATCTCAAATGGTTGACGATTCTAAGGAGTGCTTGCTTCCCTAGTGTTATTATTCATCTCATAGAGAGGTCTATTGTTTGGCTAGGAGCCCTGTGGCACAGTGGGTTAAACATTGAACAGTGGTTTGAGCCCACTAGCTGCTCAGAGGGAGAAAGATGAGGCTGTCAGCTTCCGTAAAGATTTATAGCCTCAGAAACTCTACCCTGCCCTTTAGGGTTGCTGTTATCAGGACAGACTCAATTGTAACGGGTTCATTATTTTGACTGAAAATTGAGCCATGGGATTGAGTTGAGTTCCAAGTCTGGAGGGTGACTAAAGTCCATAGCCTGAAGGGTTTCTACTAGTCTCTAACCAACCAGTAACCCTGGCCTTTTTTATGATTTTGAGTTGTGTTTCACATTTTTCTACCACTCTATTCCGGCCCATCTAATGTGAACCCTTCAGAATAGTCAACAGTGGTAGTCAGGCATCATCTTGTTCTTCTGGTTCGGGGGCTGAGGTTCGAGCGGTTGACTGTTTCCACCCATCTGTACTTTTCTCCACTCTTCCTTGTTCAGCACTGGAGGAGAGACCAATGGCTGCATCTCAGATGGCCACTTACCAACTGCTAAGACCCCTGTCAGTCACCATGGACCAAAGAGAGAGAGAGAGCATTGTTTTTGTGGACTATGTTATACCTATTGACCTTGTGTCCCCTTACCCTCTGGGATTGAGCTCCCAGGCCCAGTGACTCATCCTTCGAGGTGTTTGCTTATGACTAGGAAATTTTCATAACTCTGTTCCCTGTATGTTTTAGTCCATTTATGGATATATTTGCAGGACAGATAAATACAGAGGGTTTTTTTAAAAGTTCGTGGGAAAATTCCATTATCTTTTCATTCCATCTTTCCACAAACTTACAAAAAACCCACCTTTTTTATTGTGCAGTGGGCGAAGGTTTACAGAGCAGATGATCAGTTTTCCACTCAACAATTCTTACATTTTGTTTCAGTTCATCCTTCTCAATTGCTTCAATGTACTTCCTCAGTGCTTCTATTCCTTCTTCTTTTCTTACTCCCTCTGAATTTTATCCTGGAGTACGTGCTTGATTATTCCACTACTCCACAAACTTTTCTAAACGTCCTCATCTATACTGGATGCCTCCTCATACAATCGGACCCTTCTCAGATACCTACGTTCTTCTTCCCGCAGCTGCTCAGCTGCGAGTGTGTGCGTCACTCCTAGTTTATTGCTGTGACTGACCATGTAGGACTGCATATCTAACAGTATTCACAGTCTTGCACTCTCAGATTTGTCCTTTGCCTCCGTCACTTTGTGTTAACTGCTCCCCCTCATAACTGCCTCCCCTTAAGTTAAAATGTATCTACCCTCTAGCTCAGGGGTCCACAAACTTTTTAAACAGGGGGCCAGTTCACTGTCCCTCAGACTGGTTGGAGGGCCGGACTATAGTTTAAAAAAAAAACTATGAACAAATTCCTATGCACACTGCACATATCTTATTTTGAAGTAAAAAACAAAATGGAGCAAAAACACCCGGCGGCCTGGATAAATGTCCTCAGAGGGCTGCATGTGGCCCGAGGGCTGTAGTTTGAGGACCCCTGCGTCTAGTTAGTGATTTACGCACCCTCCCCTACCCACTCTTGGTAAAATATCAAAGAATATTTCTTTTTGTGTGAAAACGTTTTCTTGACTTGTTTTCATAGTGGTCTCATACAATATTTGTCCTTTTGTGATTGATTTCACTCGACACAGTGCCCTTTAGGTTCATTCGTATTATGAGGCATATTGCAGATTCGCTGTTACTCTGTAAAGCTGTGTAGCATTCCAGTGTGTGTACTTACTACAGTTTTTCTAGTTTTTAAACATTCATTTTTCCATCGATGGGCATTGAAGTGAGCTTTTTTTGCTACTGTGAAGAGTGTTGCAGGGAATATGGGTGTGTATTCCAAAGGGTTTTAAATGGCTGATTAAAAAAATACAGGCAGTGAGTTATTTAATTGTGCCAGCCTGGCCGATAATCACATGTGGGGCTAATTGAAAGGCGGAGGGATAAATGGGTGGTGAGCCTCGCCTTTCTAGTTCTCGGGTCTCTTGTTTTGTGATGGTTGCACCGGGTGCAGCTGCCTTAGCAGTTCCCTGCTTCAGCTTGCAAGATTGACTTCCTACAAGACATCCCCAAGGAGAAGCCGCATGGACCTATCCCGATGCAGCCCTGGGTGCTGGAGCAGCCGTGTGGAGACCCCTTGCTAGTGCTGAGATGCTTATTCGTTCACTGACTCAGCTTTCCTCCTGCAGTTGGCATCATTGCCTCTGTTTTGTGCGGTGGAGAACTTTGTGGTCTGGTAATGGGTTAATGTTGGACTTGTGGGCTTGGGCAGCATTGGGTTGGGATGTTTTCGTGATGCACACTTTCTTTACATAAAACTCTCTTATAAATGAGTTGCTGTGGATTTGTTTCTCTAAAGTACCTAGACTATTACAGGCAGTCTTTGAGCTACAAATGTCCAACTCCTGGACAGTTCCTACTTGCCCTTTAACATTATGTAAATTTGCCCTAATTTTGAAACAAATGAACCAACCCCTACTCACAACAAATTCATCGCAATCACTTTCACTTGCTGCAAATGCAGTTTTTAAATAACTGAAAAGGATTCTAACCTTTTCTTACACCAAGGCTAAATAAGAACAGACATATCTACAGATCTGACTTAAAGACACAAGTAGGAAGGGATCTCATTTGTAACCCAGGGCTGTCTGCAAACTATTAGGCCTTTCTTCCAAAGGGCCTCTGGGTGGAATAGAACTGTCAGTTAGCAGCCAAGTGTGTGCACTGTTTATACCACACAGAGACCCATTCCACTGAAGCGTTAGATATGTCCTCTCAGAAATTTGGATTTATTTTTTTTTAATGTCCCTAATCTATAATGTATGTGAAAATATTTCCTTTACCTTCTTCAAAATCTCTGCAATTAAAAATACAATTTTTAAAAAGAACTGTTATTGTTTTGAAGAAGGTAACAGAAGAGTTAGTTGTTGGGATGTGCAGAAGTCCCGATAAAAAAAATAGCTATTGTAATTGCACATGACATTTATTGCTTGATTGGGACTAAAACTCAGAAGTTTTGTCCTGCAGAAGGACCCTGAAGAACTAGCTAGGGATTTCTGTGTAAAGATGAACGCGTCTAATAATTTAAGGGAAAGCATTTTGTTCTGACCACTTGGTTCATTTCATTAACGTAGGCTTTTAAAGGTGTTGTGAAGATTGAAGAAAAAATTTTTTTCTGTACTGAGTGGCTTGGGTTGTTTAGAAAAATGCCAATTCTGAATACATCTAGCGGTGGATTTTTATCTTAGAACACTGTCCACAGTCTAATTTCATTACATAGCAATTAAAATCGTATGTGGCATCATATGAGATGTAGACTCAGGTTATTTTTATTATTTCATTACCTACTACTAAGGATGGTCAGTACATCCCAGATGCTTCGTACAAGTGGCTCATGGGAAATCTGAAGCCTTTAAAGTTTCCAAGGCCCACCTGAGCAGGCCTTTTGGTTCTCATGGCACTATGCAGGCTGCCTGAGGTTGTTCACTGATACTCCAAAACAGGATCTGGCCTGGTGAACTCGGCCAGGTCTGTTTTTCTTTCTTTTTCTAATGGTTTAATATGAAAGCATTTTATATCAAACAAAGTCATGAGAGTGCCTATAAAGTTTTGATATGTGTCCTTCTATCTTAAACATTGTGCTAAGTAAACCAAAGAGCTGAATTCCTGGAGGGAGTTGGTAATTGGGCTGCAAATCCTACTGCAGTTTGCAAAATAAAAGACATTGCCATGTAAATGCTGCCACACCAATAAGAGTGCTCTCAGGGCACCTGCATACACCCACTGTGGGGCTCAGGATGAGATCTCAAATAGAGGAAGTGCAGGGTTCATGACCTACATACCCCCTTACTCAGAGAACTTTCCTGGGAGGAAAACATGATGACATTACAACAGAAAAGGGGAATTAGTTGGAAAAGCAAGATGAAAAAAAATTGGATGTAGGGACAGCAGAGAAGTAAACTCAAAAGACCAAGCGGAAAACTGGGAGTTCACTGCTAAGGAAATGTTCTGTTTGCATCCCAAATGTAGCTGTGTTTTCAGAGGAGTGACTTGGCCAGCACCACCCCACGAGAAGGTGCGCATGGCTCGCACAGCCTTTTAAGGTTCTGCCTGAATTGATTGCTTTAGGGAGCTTAGGAACATTTCAAGACTGGACACTAGGTGGAGCAATTAATCTCTTGTAGGGTTGGAAAAAGCAACCAGAGTAGTAAGAAAGACAGGGTCTGAGAGAAATGAAAAGGTAAGATAGGCAGGTGATTGAAATGGAGAAGTGTAAGAAAGGAAAAGGAGAAGTCATAGAGATATGGCGCTGAAGAAAATGAATGGTGGGAGATAAAGAAGGAAGAGACAGAGGGCAGGCAGATGAATATGAGAAAACAGGGAGGGAAAGGGGGGAAAGCATGTGCTCAGAAAGACTGGCAATAATCACAGTCAGATGTTTGTCAAGCCCAGCTTACCCAGGCGCACAAGATACTGGATAGTCAGGAGGATCATGTTTTCCACGCTCAGGAGTTGGCTGCCAGTCAATCCTAATTGTTCCAAATCTTTATTTTCCACCTGTGGAATCTTGTAGCAGTTCACCAGCAGAGGACTCACAACAATGTCACCAACATTTCCATAGAAATAGGGTAAAGTGCCATAGCCTGCCCAAGAGAAGAAGAGGTGGATAAGGGCCTCGAACGAGCTCCAGTTTCATGTCCAACCCGCAGGGTTTCTCAGCCAGTACACAAAGAGGCTTACAAAACGAGAAAATTAAAATAATTTATAAATTATCAAGGGTACACGAGGGTGGGAGGGGAAAGAAGAGGAGCTGATACCAAAGGCTCAAGTAGAAAAAAATGTTTTGGACATGATGACGGCAACATATGTACAAATGTGCTTGATACAATTGATATATGGATTGCTATAAGAGCTGTAAGAGCCCCCCCAAAAATGATTTATTAAAAAAATTGAAGGGGGCGGGGGAGGCTTACAAAACTCCCTTGTCCTCTCAGAGGGCTACCAAGCAAATCACTTACATCTATCAAGCCAGGGGCATTCACTTAGCTTCTCCAAATTCTTATTCTTTTTCTTTTGGTGGTGGTGGGGGTTGTTTCCAGAAAAAAAACACAGAAAACCTGCTAGACAAATTCTAAAAGAGCTGTAATAAACTAGACAAACAGGAAGCAAAAGACTCAAATTACATTCTGTTTCTCCCAGAAGGCCATGCTGTATATTATAATAGATATTATATCTCTGCCTTAGGGAATTGATGAGAGTTTACAAAGCAGCTCTGTATCTTTTGTAAAACTGTAATTATAAAATGCCCACCCGCATCCCCCCAGCCCCCAATTTCCTGAGATTCGGTTTTTCTTCACGTAAGAAATGTCTCTGTAGACGAAGTCTCTGTCTTCCTGATGTTTTCTTAAAATGAAAATGTAAACTACATTCACTGATAACCAACAATACCATTTCAAGGTGCTGGACAGTTCCTACTACTCCTGCCTATTTCAGATATTTCTGTACATTCCCCCTATAAGTGAGTAAACAGCCCCAAACAATCTTGGGGCAGATAAAGGATAAAAATATGGTAAATATATATCTCAATCGCACTGCCAGCTCTTTGTGAGGATTCTTAAGAAACAGAAGCCAAGGGATTCCCTTGATCTACATTTCTCTCCCAGGCTTAGTTACAGTGTGTGAATGCTTTATTAGAACTCCCTAAACCGTATAGGATTTAAACAAATGGGATTCTTTAAGAGGGACAGATCCAGGATTAGTAGATAAGGCAGCCAGATAAAGGACAGGGCTTGAAGCATAACTAGTCTTATCATTAGGCCAGCTGCAAGAAGCAGATAACATCTCACTTCAGACACACCCTAAGACCTGCTGGTGTTCAAACACCCTATCTGTTTTGCCCTGAGGTTAAAGCAGGCAGTCTCATGGTTTAGGTTAATCCCAAGGCTGAGGGCACTCTTAAGGAGGGTCTACAAGGTGGTAACTTAGTCTTTGAATCTTGGTACCACTAAATTTCCACACCTTTGTGGAAAACACAGCCGAAGGACTCCTTAAAGACAGATTCGTAGATGCTCTGCTTGGCTCAGATTTGCAACTCGGGTCTCAGGTTTGCCTGTGTGCTGCCTGATAGGTGACTTAGCTTGTTGCTTTTCTCTGTTGTTTGGCCCCTCTGATGGGCAGAGGCAAGCCCTCTCTCCTCTGCGCTCTCATAGTTCCTGGGTACAAATCTCTAAGACCTCACCTATCCCCACGCACGTTAATTGATATTTACTTGGCAGACTCCCCTACTGAACGTAGCACTCCTTGAGGACAAATGGATTTTCTTTATGCTCAACTTCTAGTCACATGTTTAATACAAAATTAAATCAATGACCAATAAAAGTCACAGGCATCAAAAAAGGATAAACAAACATAATCATGAATACATACATGACACAAACAATGAACTGACATAGGCAAGTTGGAATTTCTTTGCCTTACCTATCAGAATTACTGGTCTAACTCCTGAGTTACTCAGCAGATTTTCAGGAACGATTACAGTTTCCCCTGCAGGAATGGGCCGAGGCTGTAAAATTCCAGTTAATGGGGTCTGTGGACCTGGGGCAGATAAAAGGGGCTCTGGAAAAAAAAGTAGTTCGACAAGAAGGCCCATAAGAGAAAGCGAAATGAAGCCCAATGGAACGCAACGCAGTTTTAATTGCTTTTTACTATATTTTAGTTTCAGAAGTTTTGTAGGGTACACACACTTTACATTTCCCCCCACTACAGGAATTTATGTTTACTGTATAACATTAGAAGTAAGAAAAACCAGGAGGAAGAAAAAACAACAAAGAAAAACCATAACCAGGATCTCACCATAACTGTGATTTTGTATTTTAAGTAATTCTCTGGATCTTTCCAGTTGTGTTTTCCACATATAATCTTTTGGAGTTTTAAAATTTTTTTATCCTTTCCTCCTAGATTTTCAAAGGTATATATATGTATGTGTTCACTGCAGAAAATTTGAGAGGTACGAAATGGTGATGAAGGATAAACTCATCACCCTCGTCAGTACTACCTAAAGCAGGCATCCTCAAACTACGGCCCGTGGGCCACATGTGGCCCTCCAAGGCCATTTATCCAGCCCGCCAGGTGTTTCTGCCACCGCTGCCTTGTCCTGCTTAGCAGCCGACTCGTCTAGTGTGCATAGGAATTTGTTCATAGTTTTGTATTTTTTTTCAAATATAGTCTGGCCCTCCAATGGGTCTGAGGGACAGTGAACTGGTCCTGTTTAAAAAGTTTGAGGACCCCTGACCTAAAGCAACCAACGTAACATTCTGCCACTATTCTTTATGTCCCTAAGATCTGTGGGTAGTCTTCTAAACTATTTGTTTAAACAAACTTAGTTTTTGAAGAACCAAATTGATGCCTTAAAATTGGCATATTTACAATTTCTTACAAGGTTTACAAGGGTTTTACCCTTTCACCATAGGTGCCCTATGGTGACAGTTTGGAAATTATTAAGGAGAACCTTGTTTTTTTCAGGTGTCTAGTCACAGGCTCAACCACCCTGGCCAGAAACAATATGTCTCAGTCACATAAGGAGCCAGATCAGAAGGGAAAACCTAACACCACTGCCAGAAAACAAGTCTATTAGTGCCCTATGATAGTGGGTTGGTACCATCATGTATGTAAAGAATGATTTATTCATATCATAGGAGAAAACTATGCTAAATTAATTAAAATCACACGTGGTTTTGGGGAAGGAAGGTGTGAGCGGAACAAAATATTACCTACTACTAAGAGTTTCACATAAGATTAAACATAATGTTAAGAAAATTTATCTTCAAGGGTCCAGGGAAAGAACAAGAGTAGAAATTATCTCTACTAATTAAGAAAAAAAAATCCAACCAGTTATCTGTTATAATCCTACCTGTTCTTGCAAGAGGTCGAACTGCAGGAACAGGTACAACTAAGCCAGGCTGGGGGACAGGTGACCCAGGATACCATCCCCGGTGTCGTTTCTTTGGTGGCCCAGAAATGAACATGGGAGCTGAAGACAAAGAATGATGCGCTCAGCATTGTGGAAGAAAGAACGCAAACTTCGCATGTTGCTGGCAGGTGCCACTGAGTCGGCTCCAAGCCAAGGCGACGCTCTGCACAACAGAATGGACACTGCACCGTCCTGTGCCATCCTCACCATGGTCCCCATGCCCGGGCTCACGGATGCAGCCAGTGTGTACAACCTTCTATTTGATTACACAGGCAGTCCCTGAGTTGTGAATGAGATCTACTCTCAGGTGCATCTTTAAGCTGAATTTTTAAAAAATCATTTTATTGGGGCTCATACAACTCTTATCACTATTCATACATACATCAATTGTGTAAAGCACACTTATACATTTGTTGCCCTCATCATTCTCAAAATTCACCTTCCGCTTGGGTTCTTGGAGTCAACTCCTCAATTTCCTTTTCCCCCTCCCCCTCCCTCCCCGTTCCCCACTCCCTCATGAACCCTTAATCGATTCCCCTTTTCTAACCCCCCCCTTCCCTCCCGGTATCGCCACTCTCACCACTGGTCCTGAGGGGGTTCATCTGGCCTAGATTCCCTGTGTTTCCAGTTCCCATCTGTACCGCTGTGAATCCTCTGGTCTAACCAGGTTTGCAAGGTAGAATTGGGATCATGATAGTTGGGAGGAGGAAGCATTTAAGAACTAGAGGAGGGTTGTGAGTTTCATTATTGCTACCCTGAATCCTGAGTGACTCCCCACTACCCCTCTGCAAGGGATGTCCAGTAGTGTGCAGATGGGCATTGGGTCCCCATCATGCGCTACCCTCATTCACAATGATATGATTTCCCCCCACCCCCTCACCCCCTGCCTTTGGTGCTTGAAACCTGGCTCCATTGGCCCTTCATGATCACACATGTTGGTGTGCTGCTTCCATGTGGGCTTTGTTGCTTCTGGGCTAGATGGCCGCTTGTTTACTTTCAAGCCTTTAAGTCCCCAGACGCTGTATGTCTCGATAGCCAGGCACCATCAGCCTTCTTCACCACACTTACTTATGCACACATTCGTCTTCAGCGTTTATGTAGGGAAGGTGATCACACTGTGATGGTTTTTGTTCTTTGGTGTCTGCTACCTGAACCCTTGAACACTTCGTGTTCGCACAGGCTCGTGTGCTTCTTCTCTGTGGGCTTTGTTGCTTCTGAGCTAGATGGCCGCTTGTTTGCCTTCAAGCCTTTAAGACCCCAGACGCTATATCTTTTGATAGCCGAGCCCTATCAGCTTTCTTCACCACATTTGCTTATGCACAAGTCTGTCTTCAGCGATCATGTCAGGAAGGTGAGTATTATGGAATAACCGTTTAGCTGAGCAAGGTGCTCTTGTATTAAGGGAATGCGCACGAGGAGGCCCAATGTCCACCTGCCACCCTACTACTAAACCTATAAATATATGTACATAGCTCCATTTCCCCCATAATCGTAACTATATTTACATATGTACATGTCTGTATTTAGGCTTCTATGTATGTCCTTTGCCTCTCTATTTCCTTACGCTTTCCTCCTGTCCCACTACCATGTTCAGCCTTCATTCTGGTTTCAGTAATTCCTCTCAAGTTACTTTGCCCTTTGTCACTCCCTACCAGTCCTCCCATCCCCTCCCTGCCATGGGTTTTGAACCACTCATTGTTCCATTGTCCCTGGGTTGGCCAACACCTCCTCCCTTCCCCTATCTCCCACACTCCCATGTCCCTCCGGGACTGTTGGTCCCTTTGTTTTCTCCTCACATTGTTTGTCCAGCCTCTCTTATCTAGGTGGACCTGCAGACATATTAATATGTTCATAAAATTGGGGATGGCTTTGACAGCACCAAAGTGGCACATAAGAACCTGGTGATGACGGCAGCAGCACCGACAAGCTAACAAACAAAAAAGCCACTGACATGCAAAGTTTGAAAGAAGAGAAAAAAATAACAAACCAAATAGGCAGAAAAAAAAGAGAGAGGAAAAAAAAGCCTGTTAGTAGTTCAAGGTGTGTTTGTTGACCTTTAGGAGTGTTTTCCGGAAGAGTATGATGGGGTGCCACGTCCTGGCCCCAAAGTCCATCCTTTGTACTCCCTCGGGACCTCCTTGCTCTGCTTCCCCCGCTGCTCCATTGCACATTCCCATTGTTTTGCCTCAGTGTGGTGGGGTCAGCTCAGTCACACATCCCATACGTGCTGTCCCGTGTAGGGCCATGGGTCAGTGCAGGATGTCGCATCTCGCTGTGGGGCAGGCTATATGGTCCTCACTATACATTGGGCCCTCTGAGCCAGTAAGCTGAATTTTTAGGTAAGTTGGAACAGGTGCATATGGTTCTTATTTAGTCTTACTTTAGAGCAAAATGAAGTCCTGGTTACATATTGGGCTGCTAACTGCAAGTTCAACAGTTCAAATCCACCAGACACTTCGAGAGAGACAGATGATGCTGTTTGCTCCCATGAAGAGTCAGAGACCTGGAAACCTAAAATGACAGTCTTACTATGCTTTATAGGGTGGCTGTGAGTTGGAATCCACTAGATGGCAGTGGGTTTGGTTTAGTGCAACAAAAAAAGGCTCCAAGCCATCAATGATTTAAGAGCTGCAGGTGGAACAAGTGAAGGTGAGTGTGATGAAGAATTTGTTGTGAGTAGGGGTTGGTTCAGTTTCTTAGCAAAGGCGTAGTTAAATAGCATTGAAGGGCAAACGAACATTGTCCAACATTCTAACCTGGGGGCTTACTGTGTTCAGAAAGTCTAAGTCATTCTTCTAGAGGGAAAATAAAGTGGAAAAAAGGTCACACTAAAGGGATGGAGAGGGAGGAGAGGATATCGTGGCCCACCAAGCCGCAAGGATGATGTTCCTGCTCAGAGCAGATAACGCACGGGAAGGACTGTAGGGCTGGCAAAATCATGGGACACGCTGTCCCTCACTGAACCATGATGCTGCGGGGGACAGCACTGGAGACACAGTGTAGGAATAGTGCACAGTCTGGCCCCATCACGCTGGGATGAGGCACTGAGGGCATGCAGCAGAGCAGCAGGGGGACAGACTGATGAAACCCCTGGGGAATACCAAAAATAGACTTTGGAGACAGAGTGTGGCACCCCATCAGACTCGACTGGAAAACACTCGTAAAGGCCAACAAACAGACCTTGAACTGTTTATAGGCTTTTTCATTGTCAGTGGCTTTCCTTTTGTTATTATTATTTTGGTTTTGTTTTTCGCTGTTGTTGGTTTTGCCTTCCTTTGTTGTTTTATTTGGCTTTGCCTGGTTTTTGCACTTATTAATGATGTGCACGTCTATCTAGATAAGATAGGCAGGATAAATAATTCGGAGATGAAAAGAACGGGAGCAGTGGTTCCAGGAGGATGAGGGAGAGAGGGAGGTGGGATAGGGAGAATAACCCAGGGACAGGGGAACAACAAGTGAACTAAAATCAATGGAGAGAAAGGTAAAGGATGCCTAGTGGGGCTTAATCAAGGGCAATGTAGCAGCAAGGAATTATTAAATCCGAATGAAGGCTGAGCATGATGGTGGGACAAGAGGGAAGTGAAAAGGAAATAGAGGAAAGAAGCAGGAAGTAAAGGACATTTACAGAAGCCTAAATATAGGCATGTACACATGTAAATATATACGTGAGAGGGGAATAAAACTATGTACTCATTCATATCTATATGTTAAGAATTAAGGTTGCAGATGGACAATGGGCCTTAATACTCCCTTAACACAAGAACACCTTGTTCTAGCAATCCGGCATTCTGTGATGCTCACCTTCCCTACACACGAAGACAAAATGGGTGCATGGGCAAGATTGTTGAAGAAAGCTGATAGTGCTCGACTATCAAAAGATACAGGTCTGGGGTCTTAAAGGCTGTAAGATAAACAAGCGGCCATCTAGCTAAGAAGCAACAAAGCCTACATGGAAGAAGCACACCAGCCTGTGTGATCATGAGGTGTCGATGAGATCAAATATCAGGCATCTAAGACCTAGAATAAAACCATACCCAAGGTGAATGGGGGGACTGGGGGGATAGAGTGGAGACCCATCTGTACACAATTGGACATCCTCTCACAGAGGGATCACAGGGAAGAGATGAGCCAGTCAGGGTGCGGTGTAGCATCGATGAAGCACACAACTTTCCTCTAGTTCTTTAACGCTTCCTTCACCCCACTATCATAACTTCAATTCTACCTTACAAATTGGGTTAGACCAGAGCATGCACACTGCTACAGATAAGAGCCTGAGACACAGGGAAGCCAGGATAGATAAAGCCCTCAGGGCCAATAAGGACAGTAGAGATACCAGGAGGATTAGGGGAGGGTCGGGGGAGGAAGGAGGAACCGATCACAAACTATAACCCCCTCCCAGGGGGATGAATAATGGAAAAGTGGGTGAGTGGTGACGGAGGATGATGTGAGATATGGAAAAAACAATACATAACTTATCAAGGGTTCGTGAGGGAGGGTGGGGGGGAGGGGGGGAAGAAATGGGGAGCTGATATCAGGGGCTTTAAGTGGGACGAGAATGCTTTGAAAGTGATGATGGCGGCATATGTGCAAATGTGCTTGACACATTGGAGGAATGCATGGATTGTTATAAGAGATGTAAGAGCCCCCAATGAAAGTATTAAAAAAAAGAGTCACACTAATAATAGTACCTAATAACTCTTTTACAACTTATGGTTGTACCCAGATTATTTCATTTTGATTCTGTCAACAATCCTGTGAGGTTGTTATACAACTATGATTGTTATATTCATGTTGTAGATGGAGAAAAGCAGCCCAGATTTGCCAGAAGCCACAGAACAGAGCAGAATGTTGAACCCTGTACTTTTAAGCAAATTCCATGGGTTTTCAAGACTATGTTATACATTTATTTCAACAATATTTTCCAGGTAGGTTCATCCATGAAGCATCACTGAGAGGCTTAATCATTACTGTTCAAACCACTGTTTTGTTGTAATCATAAATTTCAACACTGCTAAACAAGCAGAGAAAAAAGCAGTGGACATTTGCTATCAGATAATCATTGTCCCTAAACCTGTAAGATTTCTACCATAATAAAGTGCATTACTTCAAGATTCTAAGATGAGGGTTTTTTTCTTACCTGGGTCTCCTGATACATAGCCTGGTCTTGGTGACAGAGAGTACGTCACTGGACGGGCTGGGGTGGAGCTGGACGCACTGCTCTTCCCCGCATGACTACTGCTTCCGTTAGCAGCATCTGTGGTTCACAGCAGAGAGGCCATTCAGAGGGGCTGGTTAGGGCACTATTCCGTGATGCTGTTACCACATGATGAACTCAGGATTCAAAAAACATCACTGACAGGACTCGGGCAATTGGATAAAATCATATACAATCATTAAAGTCATATCTTCAGTGAGAATTAAATGCCACCTAGAAGTTATTCTCTAAGACCTCAAGAGATCTTTTAGAACTAAAATGTCATTTTCAGTGACGTATTTAAAACTTGAGGGTTTAAGGAAGGGAAAAATTCTTTTCCACTTCTTAAAAATTGTATCATGGAAAATTTCAAATGCACAAAATTAGAGGGAACAGTGGAATAAAACTCCTGGGCACTCATCACCCACCTTCAGCATTTGTCAACATATAGCCTACTTATTTCATTTATACTGCTATTTTCCTTCCTTCCCATATATTCTCTGGATAATTCTGAAGCCAATCCGTTTGCCCTATTGCATCCATATATATGTCAGTATGTATTTCTGAAAGGAAAGGAGTATTTGAAAAACCTTAACTGTATAATGAATATACTTGAAATTAATAATAAGGAATTCTTAATATCACTTGTCCCCTCAGTACTCAAATTTCCTCTAATTATCTCAGAAATAACTTTTTCCAGTTGGCTTGTTCAAATCCATACTCAAAAAAGACAAACACATAGAATTTGGTTGAGCTGTCTTGCCAAACCTCTCTTAAGACAGGATTTCTCCCTTCTTTTTGTTCTTTCTTGATTTGTTGAAGATAAGGCAAAATTTCCCATTTTCTGTATTTTTCTTATAGGATTCCTATGGTGTCACTTAAAAATCCTTTGTCCCCTGTATTTCCTATAAACTGGTAGTTAGGTATAGAAGTGAGCAGATTCAGATTCAATTTTTTTAGTGGTGGGGGGGAGAATATTTCCTAAGTAGAGCTGTATTTTTCCATAAGGAGGTGCATGATGGCTGGGCTTCTCTTTATGGGAAATTATGATTGGCTGACTGCAGGCTCAAGGGTTGTCAGCCTAACCCTTGTCCTCTATGGATAAGAGCCCACAGAGGGCTATTCAATAGCCTTGCATCTGATGGTTTTAGAGGCCAAGATGATTACTGGCAAAATAGATTAGTTCATTAATCTTCAAAATACTATAAAAACGTGGATTCAACTTGTTCAGGTCTGTACTCAAAACAGAAGGGAGAAACAGCAAGCATCCGTACCAGAGTCAGAACACTAGCAGGCCGAGTAAATTACAATGCTGAACTGCTTATTCTTCTCTTACCTCTCTGATAATTTCTTCACTTTAAACACTGAACTTTTCTAGGATTTTATCCCCAGTTTATAGCTTGTCTCACCCCACAGCTCTCTCAGGATCATATGGTTTACCTTCCCAATTTTAATGACATGTTAGTGGCATAATCTGAACGACCAGCCCTGACTTCTCCCAGGATAAATCATCCCAGAAAGCACATAGAGGCCTTCTCCTTCAGGTTCACATTGATTCAGTCAAGACCTGTTCTTACTTCCTGAGTAGTTATACAATCTGTCACCTCCTCTTCAACCTTACCACCAGAGTTGTGGCTAAGGACTACATTATTTTTCATCTAGATTTTTGAAGTTACTTCCAAATAATTTTCCTGCCTCTTGTCTTTTTACATCTTGCTGCAAAATTATCTAGCTCAAATTCAAAGCAGACCACACCACTCCCCTGTTCCTTCAGTTAGAGTGTAAAATCCTCACTTCTTATCATGATCTCCCATGACCTTTCCCTGGCCCACCATAGTCTAACAAGTCCAAACTGCTGAAACTATGTAGATACATCATGCTGCTTCTTTCCTTTGAACCTTTGTTCTTGCTGTTCCTTGTATCCAAGATGCCTTTCCCCTACTCTTTTGTACATTTGTAACATCCTCATCATCCCAAAGCAAGCTCCTCCAAGAACTCGTTCTCATTGTGCTTGAAATGTTGGGCTGAAACCCCCCTCTCTATGCTCCCCTAGCATACTGTATATATCACTATACCCTAAAATATCTTGTTTTAGGTATGTGATGGATTTAATTATACCTCTCAAAAATATGCTTACATGGATTGCGATAAGAGTTGTATGAGCCCCTAATGAAATGATTTTAAAAAAAAGATATGCTTACTTCCTGTCCGGAGGAGAAACTATGTAGGGGTGTTGAAAGTAAAATGGATTATCTGCTGAGCAGAGCTTCACTCCATTCACAATAAAATAAAGGTGGTGGGGGGGAATAACCGATATTTAAAACAGAAACAAGTGTTGAAATCTTAATCTGTATTTACGAATGTGAATTTATTTAGAAATAGGGCCTGAGGTGGTTGAAGTCGTGTCTTGATTGGCTGGGTAGTCAACCCCCATGAAGAAATCTAATATAATGTAATCACCATCACCTCTATGATGAGAACTGCTATGAGCAGCCAATACATTTAAAGGGTCATGTGGTCTGCTTCCTATAGATATGGAGGTTCTGGATAAGTTTTACTTTTTTGCTAGAATTGGTTTCTGCATTTGGCTTATCTCTTACCTCTGGTTCTTTGGAATCGAGGCAGCTGTCTACTACACTATATAATGATCCAGTCATTATCCTCTGTAGTATCTGACCTTAGCTGCCAACCTTGGGTTCATTTGCTCCTCAGCCAGAAGCCTGCCATTTAGCCTACTTCTCTTGGGTTTATCAGCCCTGCAAGTATGAGGCTTAGGAGAAGTTGTAGCCTGACATCTGGACCAAGGACTTGTCAACCACTACAAATGCAAGAGCAATTTCCTTGATTCAAAATTGTCTCTATATAAGCCCTACTGGTTTCGCATCTCTAGAGAACCTAGCCTAAGACAAGGACTTTGTAGATGCAAGTAGTTAACAACATGAGGTCATGCTAGAGTAAGTAGGCCCTGATATAGCATTTTTGGCATCCTTATAAAAAGAGGAAAAAAGCCACGGACAGACACACAGGAATGACAACCACTTGAAGGCAGAGACAAAGATTAATTATGCTGCTGCAAGCCAAAGAATGCCTAGGACCACCAGTAGAGAAAAGGATTCCTATTCTAGAACAGTCAGGGAGAACATGGCCCTGAGAGCAACTTTACAGATTTCTAGGCTTCAGGCCTATGGGAGGGTAAATTTTTGTTTTTTTTAATCCATCCTGCTTATGGAACTTTTTTATGGAATACACTTAGATGAGAACAAGATCAGTCTCCCCCACTACAACACAAGTACTTGGAGGTCAGGGAGTAAGTGTTATTTATTTTTGTATATCGAGGTTCAAGTCATAGCAGGTACTCAATAAATCGTGTTGCATGTAAACAAACTACTCTGTCTCCTCTGTGTGTCAACTACGGAGACCTTAAGGCGTTGGGCAATAAGACACTGCTATTACTAGCCTTGCTTCTCTTTTCATCTGGCAGATAGAAGCAGTTTCTGTTTGCTTTTGTCAATTAAATTTCAAATAGGTCCTGGATAGACTATGTATTTGCCAAATAAATATAAGCGAGGAAAACATCACCTGCAGCAAAAGTCTTCCCTACAACCTGCAAAGATAAAGCCAGTGGTTTCACAACATTCTTATTCCGGGTCAGGTCCTGAGCGCCACTTAAATTGATTGCAGAATTAGCTGGACTGAGAATCGATGAATCTTTAAAATGAAAGAGGTTGTTAAAGTTAGCAACTATTATATTTGCACAAAGGAAGCTGATTCAGGAGGGATTTGAGAGAAAGTAGACTGGAGAATTTAGGGGTTTTCCTTGACCTATGTTGATTTTTCTCTATTCAGGTTTTACTTTTTTGCTTTCCTGACAAACTTTAAAGAAGTTACTATGAATTCTTATGAGTCACTGGGTGCTACTTTAAGTTCTTTAAATATATTAATTCCTTTAACAATCCAATTAGATAGACATTATTTTTAAATTGTTAATAGTTCACTTGATCAAAGTCAAGTGACTTGATGTCAAGAATATAATTAGGCTCCATCTACTGTGACCACAGTTCACCTCAAAGTCATATTTTAATAAGATATACTTTATCTCTGCCTAGATGAGTATTCCACTTAAAAGACTTCATGCAAACTAGGTCACTAACTGGGACCTAGGAAAAAGGATTTTTCTCTGAAGGAAAAGTTACTTTACTTTAAGAAATAAACTAGAATTAATTTACCTATATGATAACATATTTATTTAGAAGAAAACTCCCATTTAGATTAAAAAAATCATTAATTCCAGCAGAGCCACGTGCCACATCTCGGAGAGACCGTGTGAGAGATGAATGCTCCAACATGAGTTTTTCTGATTGAGTAGTAGGGACCCCAAGTCCCAAACTGCACCCTGGTAGAATATCAGTTAACAAAGGAAAGTGTCAAAAGGAATTGATCTAATTCTCTGACAGTTTGGAAATAAAATAGGATCCTGATGATGCTACATTAGGAGAAAATAAAAAAGTGCCAAAAGTTATTCAACTCACAACTTGGTTCCTGAGACATCTAATTGGTGTTTCCCACAAGAATTCAGAAGCCTGCAACATGGTCCCCTACTGGTTTGGAAGAGGTAATGTGACCAATGTGCCTTTTGGAGCATCTCACTTGCCACCATGGAGTGATTTTAAGGTCTACTGGAAGAATCAAGTCCAGCAAGTACATATATTCAGGAAACTAAAGATAACTCAAGTTTTCAGGGTCTTAATAGAGAGCCTTACAATGGGACAGGAATCCTGGGTAAAGTTTGCTCTGCTACTACAAGGACCAGTCGACATTTTGGGTAAAATACTGGGCAAAAGGAAGGGTAAGATGAGATGATATTGGCTATGTGCTGATAATTATGAAAGCTGGATGGTGGGTCAATGCCGATGGTTCCTCATATTATCATCTTTCTCTATATGTATATGTGTGTGTAATCAAAATTTCCACATCATCGAAGAAGGGATTAATATCAGAGCCTAAATTGTGAGAATCTGGTTTGCAGAAGGTTATGGATGACAGTGGGAGTCCCAGGTTCATTTGTGGGAACTGCATCAGCCTCCGGTGATCTCCCTCTATCTACAATCAAGGGATGGGAGGAAAGTGGTTAGTAAACAGAGGGCATTAGAGAGATGCGTATAGAAGACCAAAGACATAAATCTGGCTTGAACAGTTAAACTTTGCCAGGTGATCCTCCCTCTGATGCCTGCTGGACCTGATCTGGTTGACAACATTTTCTGTATTCTTGTTTTGTTATTGCTTGTTCATATTTAGGTGTATCTCAGAGGTGTCATGTCCTTGGAGGCCACCCTCTTGAAGTTGTTACATGCTGGTCTGTGTTTCGGTATATGAAACCCAGGATTGATGAGGTAGCAAGTCGATTACGGTTTCCAGGGGAAGGGCATGGTCCAATGCTGGTGGTGGGGTAAACAGGGCAACAATGTCAAGGAGTCCAGGAGGAAAAAGAATGTTTTGAGCCTGATTGTGGTAGCAATTACACAATTTTGCTTGATGTGACTGACTATGGGATGCTATATGTATTAATTCCCAATAAATAATAAATTAAAAACAAAATACAATTTCCACATTAAAGGTGAAAATGTTGTCAATGTTTCTGAAGATCATGAAACTATACCACCACAAGAGATATAATAATAGCTTATATTTCTGAGCAAGAAAATTCAGTGTCAAAAAGGTGTAAATAAGCCTAAGTTTATTTATAAATTTAATGTGATTTTAGAAAAAATATCAACAGCTTTAGGTTTTATTAGGAGTACTGTTAGAGTAACCAGACTGCTTTAACTAGACAAGCTGATATAATGTTGATACAGAAAAATAAACACACAAGAATAACTGCAAACATTCTGAAAAGAGAAATGAGGAGTGTAGAACAGTAATAGAATAAAGCATGTCATTAAAGCCTCAGTCAATTAAACACTGTGGTCATGATGCAAAAGTAGACAAACAGAACAAAAAAAGACATAGAAATAGACATGTAAATTTAGTTTAAGACAGTTTTCAGTCCAAATCAGTTGTGAAAATGTGTGTTAAGACTATTAGATAAAAAAAAAAAAGACTAATAGATAAAACACGAAAAAGAAATTGAATCCACATTGTATATAGTAAGCACAGAATGAAATAAAATGAACCAAAGATATAAATGGAAAAACTGAAAATATAAAAATATTAAGAAAAAAGGAGAATTTTTACATTGAAATTAAAAAGAACAATTGAATAATCAAAATACAGAGGCCAGAAAAAAAGAATGGTAAATTCAGCTACATAAAAATAAAATGATTCAAAAAATAAAATAAAATAAAATGATTCATGGCAAAACACAGGCAAGCCAGGCCAACAGAAGCCAAAAGAGAGCTGGAGAGGGCAGACTTGTAGACAAAGTCGATAAAATTGTTGCTAGAGAATAAAAGGAACATTTTATAATGCTGAAAGGATCAACTCACCAGAAAGACATTTGCACTAACAATTCCAATCCAAAATACATGGAGCAAAAACTGACAAAATTGAAAAGAGAAAAAAGTAATTGATAGTATTTGTTAGAGACTTCAATATTTCCCTTTCAATAATAGATAAGCCAACTAGGCAGAAGATCAACAAGGAAATTAGAAACTGGAAAGCAGCTATAACTAATAGGCATCAATAGAACCCAACTCCTTTCCAAGTGCACAAGGAACATTCTTCAGGATATGCTAGGCCATAAAATAAATCTCGAAAACTCTGAAAGGACTGAAATCATACAAAAATATACTCTATGATACTAATGGAATGAAGTTAGCCACCAGTAACAGATAGAAATTAAAGAATTCACAAATGTGGAACTCAAACAACACATGCCTAAATAATGTCAAAGGGAGACATCATGAGGGAAATTAAATAATTTAAATATGTGGTTAAATGAAAACTCATGTGCTAACTCATGGGATGTTGCTGAAGCAGGGCTTAGATGGAAATTTATGACTCTAAATACCTACATTAAAAAAGAAAGTAGGCCTCAAGTCAAGAACCTAACTTCCTACCTTAGGAAATGAGAGTGGGATCAAGCAAACAGAAGACAAGAAGCAATACAGACTTGAGCAGAGATGAATGAAATCAAACAAAAATAATAGGAAAAATCTAATTAACCAAAAATTAGTTCTTTGAATAAATCAATAAAATTGACACATCTTCAGCCAAATAGATTAAGAAAAAAAAGAGAGGACACAATTGATTAAAAGCAAGAATGAAAGGCAGGGTATCACTAGGTACCTTAGAGAAATACATGAAAATAATTGTAAGGATTACTATCAACAATTGTATGCCAACACATTAGATAAGCTAGGTGAAATGGAGACATTTTCTCACAAAGAAAATCCAACTCCCACATGGCTTTTCTGTTGTATTTTACTAATTAAAGGAGATTTAATTCCATTCTATAAAACTTCCCCAAAAAACTAAAAAAGAAAAGAAAAAACCCTAAACTGCCCCCCAATTCAGTAGCTCCAGTGATTGTCCTGATTTCACCAACATATGGAAATATTACAAGAAATAAAACTATAGCACAGAATTTATGAAACTTAAGAATAGAGACATAAAAGTATTTTACACAGTTCAACATGTTTTCATGATAAATACTCTGAACAAACTATCAATAGAAAAGAACTTTCACAACCCAATAAAAGACATTTATGAAAAATCTACCAAATTTATCACACTTAAGTGTGGCTGACTGGATGCTTTCTCCCTACAATCAAGTACAAGACACGGATTTCCACTCTTGCTACTTCTAGTCAATGGGAGGCTCTACCCAGAGTAGTTAGAAAGGAAACCAAAGTGAAAACAGGACAAAAAGGAAGAAGATAAACCATATTTGCATGTGACATGATCACAGATACAGACAATTCTACGGAATCCACTTAAACACACTACTAGAGGTAATGCATGAGTTCATCAAGGTTGCAGAATTCAAGATCAAAAAATGAAAACCAATTTTATTGCTATATTTTAAAAAGGAAATACCCCTAAATAAAAATAGCAACTTCATTAATAGCAATATCATAAAGAATAGATATTTAGGAACCCATTTAATAAAAAATGTATAAGCCACTCTGAAACTCTAAAACATGTCTGAAAGAAATTTTAAAATACTTATAATTCTTAAATAAATCAAGAACCAATGATATTGAAGGAAGAAGCCCAAGTTACACTGAAGGTATTAGTCAAAAGCAAGGCTCCAGGAATTGATGCAATACCAATTAAAATTTTTCAACAAGCCTATAAAGCACTGGAAACACTCACTAGCCAAGAAATTTGGAAGGCAGCTACCTAGCTAATTGACTGGAAGAAATTCACATTTGTATCCATTACAAAGAAAGGAGGTCCAATAAAACGCACAGAGTATAGAATAATATCATTAATACCATATGCAACTGAAATTTTGCTTATGGGTCATTCCACAACAGTTGCAGCAGTGTATAGACAGGGAGCTGCCAAGCATTCAGGTTGGAATCAAGAGAATACAAAACAAGGGATTGCATTGCCTACATCAGATAGATCTTGGCTGAAAGCAGAGAATACAAGAAAGATACTTGTGTTTTATTGACTATGCGGAAGTATTCGACTCTGCTTCACATAACAAATTATAAATAGCCTTGAGAAGAATGGGAATTCCAGAACAATTAATTATGCTCATG